CAGTTCTAGTTCCAAAAATTTTGAAAATTATATGACTTGCGTGATTTTTAAAAATTGGAACAATTTCGGTAAAACTAATGAAATAGACCTTGGGTCCAACCAAGGCAAGTGATAAAAAATAAATATCAATTAAATCCCATTTATTATTGATGATGCTAAAATATAGCTCACCTAGGGTGGTATAGAAAATGAACTGGGAGAGCAAAGCAGATCAGTAGCTTGACAACTTGATGATCCTGAGGTACCTGCGATCATAGAACACATGAACTAAGCCGGGGGTTGATCCGGCGGAAACCCCTCGTATTCCGCTGTCTTACCAACTGATCATAGAAATAGTCCAGAGAATACGCGTTTTTGTATTGCTCAGTTAATAGGACGTACCTTAAGGAATGAGTTCAAACCTTTATTTATAGCTTAGTTGAGATTGTCGGGCCCGAACCTTACTTGAAGGTGATTGGGCCTCGGTGATAATGGTCTTCGATATTGGGCTCGTGGCCCAGTAGGTAAATAAATTGTAGGCCCATTGGGTTGGCCCAATTAGGCATATCATTAAGCCCCCCACTCTCGAGTCGATGTGGGGGCCATGTCGAAATGGGTTCTCAATCGTGTCGAGAGTAAAAATTGTAGTGTTCGTTCTTTGGCATATGGCCTGATGGTGTGCGAAAATGCATTGGAGCGTGTGTCGGAGGGGCGTGAAGGCGCGTTGGCGCGTAGCGCAACCAAGTTGTCGCGATGTATGTTATTTGAGTTGTCGGTGTTGTCCCGCGACGATGTAAGAGCTCGGATCAAGTTATCTCCTCGTGGGAGTTGTCTCGTCGCGGGGTAATAGAGTTGATCGAGTTATCTCCTCGTGGGAGTTGTCTCGCGATTATAATGTAGTAGCACAGAGCGAGTATTCTCCTCGTGGGAGTTGTTATTTATCGACATTGTCAATGTTGTGACGCATTGCTTGTATGTGTTTACATATAGCCTTGTGCGTGATGTACTTGAGGAGGGGATCAGACTCTCAAGATTTTTATATGGGGATCGTGCCCTTTGTTAGACCTCGTGGGTCGTAAGTATGTTTGGTCCGTGGCCATGTTTTAATGAATGACCCATCGAAAACAAGTAGATAAATTTGAGTAATCAAGCTGGCCAGGCTATATAGATTCCCATAATATTTCTAAGTGTTTCTAGGGTTGTAATCGTGCTAACTTGAGCTTGCGATTATATAGTGAAGTTCGGGCGAGTTGTCTCCTCATGGGAGTTGTCTCGCAGCGAAGTTGTAGAATCATTGGATGACGCGCGACTGACGAGTGTGCGGATTGATGTCGCTCTGAGCGATTTCTCTCCTCGTGGGAGTTATCTCGCTGAGGGTTTGTAGTACCGAGCGAGTTGACTCCTCGTGGGAGTTGTCTTGCAGCGGGTTCGTAGTACCGAGCGAGTGGTTTCCTCGTGGGATTTTCCTCGCAAGGGGTTGTAGGTCCGATCGAGTTGTCTCCTCGTGGGAGTTGTCTCACTGCGGGATGTAGGACAGAGCGAGTTTGCTCCTCGTGGGAGTTGTCTCGCTGCTGGTTGTAGGACCGATCGAGTTTGCTCCTAATGGGAGTTGTCTCACTGCTGGATGTAGGACAGAGCGAGTTTGCTCCTCGTGGGAGTTGTCTCGCTGCTGGTTGTAGGACTGAGCGAGTTCTCTCCGTGTAGGAGTTATCTCGCTGTGGTTTCGTAGATCCGAGGGAGTTGGCTCCTCGTGGGAGTTATCTCGCAACGGGTTATAGAACGGAGCGAGTGGTCTCCTCGTGGGAGTTATCTCGCTATGGTTTCGTAGACCCGAGGGAGTTGGCTCCTCGTGGGAGTTGTCTCGTTGCGGGTGGTAGTTCTGAGCGAGTTTGCTCCTCGTGGGAGTTGTCTCGCAAGCCCCCCACTCTCGAGACGATGTGGGAGCCACGTAGAAAGGAGTACCGGATCGTATTGAGAGTCGATATGTGCTGTAGTCTTGCGTTAATCGTTGGCATGGCGTGGAGAAATAATTTTTTTTTATATTTATCCGTTTGATAGCGAGCGCGATTTGGTAGGCGCGTTGAAGAGTTCGCGCGATTTGGTGGAGCGCGTTGAAATTCTCGCGCGATTTGGTGAAGCGAGGTGAAATCTACGCGCAATTTGGTGGAGAGTAGCAAAAGTTGTGCCCAATTAGGTGGGAGCGCGCGCTCCAAGGTGGCCTTGGGAGGCGCGCGCGCGTGAGAATTTTTTTTTTTTTTTTTTACTGCTGGCGCGCGTGCAGTGCACGCGCGTGCGTCTGGCGCGTGTACGCCACGCGCGCGTGCTGTGAACGCGCGCCTCCATATCTTTTTTTTTTTTTTTTTTTTTTTGTATGGAGCCGCGCGCGCGCGGCTTGGCTCGGCTCGCGCGCGCGGCTCGGCTGCAGCTCCTCCTTTTTCTTCTTATTTTTTCTTTCTTCTTCTGTTTTTCATCTTCTTCTTTCTTCTTCTATTTTTTCATCTGCTTCTTTTTTTCTTCTATTTTTTCATCTTCTTTTTTTTTTCTTTTTTTTTTTTTCTTCTATTTTTTCATCTTCTTTTTTATTTGATTATATTCACCCCCTTGGGGATGTTCTACTTTTAAGTATGGGAGATTATCCTCGTTCCTTGAGATGGGATGTGCACCCCCTTGGGGATGAAAGGTCAGTGGATGTACCACCCCTTGAGATGAGATGCCCAACTTTAGCATGGGATAGCCCCCCATTTAGGATGAGGCGATCACGAATCACTGGGGTGAGATGCCCCACCTTGGCGATATATGGTGCCACTGATTCAGTGGCAGCACGAGTTGAATCTTCCGTGATCATACGCTGAAGGTCTTCTTCGGTTATCTGAACCGTTCGAGAAGTAAGTAGAAATTGATCATGTTGGGGACCCAGTGGGGCCTCACGAGGAGGAGCGTTGGCTCCTGCTATGACGAATGAAATGTTTTGGGGGCGATGTGAACCCCCAGGGAGTCGATAACCCTTGGCGAACGAAATATTTTGGGAGCAGATGTAAGCCCCCAGGGAGTCGATAACCCTTGGCGAACGAAATATTTTGGAGGCGATGTAAGCCCCCGGGGAGTCGATAACCCTTGGCGAACGAAATATTTTGGGGGCGATGTAAGCCCCCAGGGAGTCGATAACCCTTGGCGAGCGAAATATTTTGGGGGCGGATGTAAGCCCCCAGGGAGTCGATAACCCTTGGCGAGCGAAATATTTTGGGGGCATATGTAAGCCCCCAGGGAGTCGACGGCGGTGGTGCCATAGGTGGCTCCACATGTGGAGCAGGTGCTGATATCGCGTTGGGAGCATTTGCTCCCATCGTGCCGATATATTGGGTCACGGCCTCTATGGCAGCGCGAGTTGAAGTTTCTGCTATCATGCGTTGAAGCGCATCCTCGGTTATTTGAACCATTCGAGGAGCAGGGAGCGGTGGATCGGCGAGTGGTTGGTCCCCAAGGGGGATCACCTGAACCTCGCGAGGCGGATCCATGGGATGTGGAGGAGGTGGCAAGCCAGAGCCTCCACGAGGTGGGAGGTCGTTTGCTGTGTCCTTTTCTCTCCGAGCAGACACCTCAGGAGGATCTTGTTGGCTACGTGATCTGGTTTGCATCGTTCCCACAGACGGCGCCAAAATGATGATGCTAAAATATAGCTCACCTAGGGTGGTATAGAAAATGAACTGGGAGAGCAAAGCAGATCAGTAGCTTGACAACTTGATGATCCTGAGGTACCTGCGATCATAGAACACATGAACTAAGCCGGGGGTTGATCCGGCGGAAACCCCTCATCACGTCGTGGGTTTTCACCTGATCATAGAAATAGTCCAGAGAATACGCGTTTTTGTATTGCTCAGTTAATAGGACGTACCTTAAGGAATGAGTTCAAACCTTTATTTATAGCTTAGTTGAGATTGTCGGGCCCGAACCTTACTTGAAGGTGATTGGGCCTCGGTGATAATGGTCTTCGATATTGGGCTCGTGGCCCAGTAGGTAAATAAATTGTAGGCCCATTGGGTTGGCCCAATTAGGCATATCATTAATTATATATATATATATGTATATATATATATATGTATATATATATATATATGTATATATATATATATATATATATAAATATATATATATATATATATATATATATATAAATAATATTATTATTATTATTATTATTTAATAAATAGTTCTGAAAAAATCAGAAATATCGAAATTATTTTTGAATATCAAAATTGGATCGTAAATAAAAAAATTCAACAAAAAATATAGACCATAAGAGATCATTAGTGACTGTGGTGGAAATTCGAACGAGATTTTCGAATTCCGATGTTTTGACCGGAATTTCTATGTTTAGAACATGCGGTAGTTTTCATTTTGAATTTCAAAATTACGATTTCCAATTTCGAACTTATATGATAGATAGGGTTTGGGTTCGCCAATTTCGATCCGATTTTTTCGGTTTTATAATAAAAAAAATTCAATCCAATTTTCGAAATTTCGACTCTGATCTTTCACGGTTTTTTGGAACAAAATTCAATTTTTCTTTTTTTGGAATTTCTCCGAAAGTCCGGCTGTGGAAAGACGAGAAAGTTACATAGGCGAATAAGTAAAAAAATAAATTCTAGGGGTTGGGATGCAAATTGTTTTTGGAGATTTTTATTTTTTAAAATATTTCCAATTCAAAATAAAACAGTTTTATGAAAAAAATAGAAAAAAATGAAATTATCCTATGCAAACCCTCGTACTCTAATCAGTATAAAATTAGGGCTTTCTCCCTTCTCTTATTCAATCCCCCAAATCCCCAAAATAAACCCTCCGAATCGTCGATTAGATCCGGCAGTCGTTCAATATTAGCGCCACCAGTAGTTCAAGAACGGTGATTTTCGGTTCGTGGAGCTTGAGTTGGATTTTAAAGCCGTAATCAGGGGTTTCGGAAACGAATTGGAACCGGCGTGCGGCGGAGTGGCGGCGGCGACGACGAACTCTCTCTCTTGTTTAGTCTCTAATTCCAAATTCTAAATTCCCTCCTCTCGCAATCAACCATGTCATCAATTCCGGAAGATTTATATCCCAGTGAAGAAGATTTCCTCTACGAAGAGGAAGTTCTTCGGAACCCTAATAGCTTCAAGCTATGGTGGCGTTACCTGATCGCCCGGAGTGGATCACCGTTCAAAAAGAGATCAATTATCTACGAGCGCGCCGTCAAAGCTTTGCCCGGAAGCTACAAGCTTTGGCACGCCTACCTCCGCGAGCGTCTCGAGATTGTGAGGAACCTGCCCATCTCCCACTCGCAGTACCAGGCCCTGAACAACACCTTCGAGCGAGCTCTGGCCACTATGCACAAGATGCCCCGGATTTGGATAATGTACCTCCAGGTGCTGACTCAGCAGAAGCTCGTTACCAAGACACGGCACACGTTCGACCGTGCTTTGTGCGCGTTGCCTGTTACCCAGCATGACCGGATTTGGGAGTATTATCTGGTTTTCGTTTCGCAGAAGGGTGTTCCGATCGAGACCTCGTTGAGAGTGTACAGAAGGTATTTGAAGTATGACCCGAGTCACATTGAGGACTTTATCGAATTTTTGATAAATTCCGAGCGGTGGCAGGAGACAGCCGAGAGGCTTTCGGGCGTTTTGAACGACGGTCAGTTTTACTCCATAAAGGGGAAGACGAAGCACCGGCTGTGGTTAGAATTGTGCGATATATTGACTCAGCACGCGACGGAAATTTCTGGATTGAATGTGGATGCCATCATTAGAGGTGGCATTAGGAAGTTCACTGATGAAGTTGGTAGGCTGTGGACCTCGTTGGCTGATTATTACATAAGGAGGAATTTGTTGGAGAAGGCCAGAGACATATTCGAAGAAGGGATGACCACAGTGATAACTGTGAGGGATTTTAGTGTGATATTTGATGCGTATTCGCAGTTTGAGGAGAGTATGTTGTCTATTAAAATGGAGGGTTCGAATGATAGCGAAGACGAGGTTAATGAGGAGTTGGAGGAGGAAGAAGAGTTGGATGATAGATTGGATATAGAGAAGTTGACGGAGAGAATCAGCAGTTTTTGGTTTAAGGATGAACATGATGTTGATTTGAGATTAGCGAGGTTGGAGTATTTGATGGATAGGAGGCCAGAGTTGGCAAACAGTGTGCTTTTGAGGCAGAATCCGCATAATGTAGAGCAGTGGCATAGGAGGGTTAAGCTTTTCGAAGGGAATCCCACGAAGCAAATTTTGACCTACACGGAAGCTGTGAGGACAGTGGACCCCATGAAGGCTGTGGGTAAACCACACTCTCTGTGGGTTGCATTTGCGAAGCTGTACGAAAGCCACAACGATGTTTCGAATGCGAGGGTGATATTTGATAAGGCTGTGCAGGTTGGTTATAAGGCGGTGGACCATCTAGCTAGTGTGTGGTGTGAATGGGCGGAGATGGAGCTTAGGCACAAGAATTTTAAGGGTGCATTGGAACTGATGCGTCGTGCTACTGCAGAGCCATCAGCTGAGGTTAAGAGGAGAGGTAATCTACTATTTCCTTTTTTCTTGTTTCCCGTTTTTGCTTCTTGTATGTGGTTAGTTATTTCTGTAATTTCTATGTCGATGTTAGTTATTTCTGGAATTTCTATGTGGGTGTTAGTTATTTCTGTAATTTCTATGTCGGTTATTTCTTGCTTCTGGTTTCCCTTTTAAGGGATTAGGGAATTTTCATGGCACAGCACAATGAAAAGATTGAAAGGTCTCTTGCACTGGTAATGTTATCAGAGTATGTGTTTTTTGTTAATGCATCTTTTGCAAAAATAAGTTTTTTAGATTTATCCTTTTATCAACTGTAGATATCACATTCATGCTTCTGTATTTGTTTAACAAGACTCTCGATCTTTGGTCAAATTGATATCAATTTAGTCGTAACTTCTTGTCTTTAAACATCCAAATATGGAAAGTTAAAGTCTTCGTCAACGATACTTCTTGATTCTGAGATTGCCTTTTATATCGACGATTATGGGTTCTTGGCTATTGTTGATGTGTTACTTCTAGTCAAGATTGTAGTGTTACTTCTAGTCAAGATTGTACAGATATGAATAGATAAGAGCTGTTCCTCCTCCAAGATAGTTGGAAATCTAAGTTCTTATTACGTAAATTCACTATCAAATAAGATAGTAACCTAAGAAAAAAGCACTAGAGGAAATCTCTCTCCTAGTTCTAAACATGTTATTGCCAGTGAGATGGTGTATGCTGGTTTATTAAATTTCAGCTCTGTTGGTTATTTTTCGTACCTTCATCACTAGGTCATGTTTACAACTATTTTATTTATTTCTCAATTTATTCTGAAGTTATTCTTTCAGCTTCTTCATTCTTCACATTCTATTAAGATTTTGTTACCTGATGCATATTAGAGTGACGAAAGGTACAGATTATAGGGATGTGAGAAAGGGTGTTAAAAAATCTTTGTTTCTACTTACTGATCTATGATTGCTTGCTTACTTCTATCTTGTAATATTAGTGTACTGTTGTTGGAGCGAAGATGATGTAATAAATCAGTAAAACCTATGTTTCAATTTTTAAGTGATATGGTTGAACTTGAATCTTACAACTTGCTTTTTTTGCTGCTGCAGTGGCTGTTGATGGCAATGAACCGGTTCAAATGAAGGTTCACAAATCACTTAGGCTTTGGACGTTTTATGTTGATTTGGAGGAGAGCCTGGGCACCCTGGATTCAACTCGTGCAGTTTACGAGAGAATATTGGATTTAAGAATAGCCACTCCCCAAATTATAATAAACTACGCAATGCTTTTGGAAGTAAGTATCTAATCCTATTGTATCAATTTTCTTCACCCACTTTTTCTGCAAATATTAGTAGACTGAAAAATGGTTTTTTATTTATTTATTTATTATTATAATTTTTTTTTTCCAGGATAACAAGTACTTTGAAGATGCATTTAAAGTTTATGAGAGAGGTGTGAAGATATTTAAGTACCCACACGTAAAAGATATCTGGGTCACTTATCTTTCCAAGTTTGTCAAGAGATATGGAAAGTCAAAGCTGGAACGAGCTCGAGAGTTATTTGAGCATGCTGTTGAAATGGTATGCTTTTCTATTCACTATTTTCTTCAAATCATAAGAAATAATTAAATTTTCTGAAGAAGCTGACTTAATAAACCGGTTTTCCTTTTGATTAGGCCCCTGCAGAATCCGTCAAACAGTTATACCTCCAATACGCGAAGCTAGAAGAAGACTTCGGTCTTGCAAAAAGGGCCATGAGAGTGTACGATCAGGCTACAAAAGCTGTCCCAGCTAACGAGAAATTAGGCATGTACGAAATATACATTTCCAGGGCAGCAGAAATATTTGGTGTGCCCAAAACTCGAGAAATTTACGAGCAAGCTATAGAATCTGGCCTGCCAGACAAAGATGTCAAAACCATGTGCGTTAAATACGCCGAACTCGAAAAAAGCCTCGGTGAAATTGACCGTGGCCGAGCATTGTACAAGCATGCTTCCCAATTTGCCGACCCTAGATCCGACCCTGATTTCTGGGAAAGTTGGAACAACTTCGAGGTTCAGCACGGAAATGTAGATACTTTCCGAGAGATGCTTCGTGTTAAAAGGAGTGTTTCCGCTAGTTACAGCCAGGTATATATGTATATATATAAACAAATAATCAATAAATTAGGATTTTACCCTGATGGAAATTAACGTTGTCCTTGTATTTTTCGTTTTTTTAGACGCACTTTATCCTGCCGGAGTATTTGATGCAAAAGGATCAGTTACAGACACTTGAGGAAGCTAAGGATGTATTAAAGAAAGCCGGTGTGGGTGATGATGAAATGGAGGCACTGGAGAGGCGGTTGCTACCACCCAGTGGCGGCGGTGAACTGGCGGTGAAAGAGAGCGGCGGCAGAAAAAGAGTAGGTTTCGTGAGTGCTGGTACTCAACAGAAGGATGGAGGAGAAGACGAGACAGGAAATCGGGAGGAGATTGAGCTTCCGGATGATGAATCTGATGATGATGATGAAGATAATCCGACGGTCGAGATTGCTCAGAAGGAAATCCCGTCGGCTGTTTTCGGGGGATTAGCAAGGAAAAGAGATGAATTGGAGAAAGATGCTGAAGAGAACAAAGACAGTGATGAACAACTTGGTGCACTGGAGAGGATCAAAAGAATGAGGCGTGCAAAAGAATGAGGTTTTTACCATTTTAGCCCTCTCTTATTACACTATTATTTAATATTTTATTTTCTTGTAATGAAAGAGAGATTTTGATGGAGCTTTTTTGTATTAACTTGT